TTGCACGGTCTCGAAACGGATATTCTTTAAAAGTTCTGAACAAGATCCTGACTGAAGCTTCGCAGGATTAGTCAGTTTCGTATTCTGACTGATCTGGTAATTTTCTTGCAAAGACCGTTGTCTGATGCGGCTATCACTCCTAACAGGATCCTGATACGAAGATTTGACCCTGATCTTGACGGAATCCTGATAAAATCTTGGCAGAATCCCCTCTTATAATCGTGTGAGGATCCCTGATAGGATCTAGAGTAAATCCTGGTAGGATCCTGTATTCTCAACTCAAAAAAATATCTGAGCAGGAACTTGAAGAAATCCTGAACAGGATCCTGTTTAACCTTGAAAAATCCTGGAAATAGGAATTACTAGGATTCGAAACAGGATCCTGAATAAAACTTGAGAAGATCCTGGAGATTGAGGATCCTCAAAGATCCTTCCAGGGTTTCTCAAGGAATGAACAGGATTGAGACTAGGGAGTTGATACATTCGTAGGATTGATTCTTTTTCTTAGCTTACATTGACGACATAACAATGATTGTCCACGAACCTCTACTTCTTGTGATTTACAATTATCACATATAGAATCTGCTTCTTTCGGTAACATCGATGTTATTTGATCTATGAATAATTATGGCATAAGATACCCAGATTTCTGTTTTAAATAAGTCTAGGTACGTTTTTAGAGAATTTTATTGTGCATTAAATTCCCAGATAAAAAAAATTCTTTGGATGTATCATGTTATAGTAAAAGTTTTGAAGATACACTACATGCAGTTAGTTCGTAGTAACACTTACGATTTCTTTATTCGACATAGTTAGTAATTCAGTGCGATTATACAACTTTTGCGTGGGTGTGCCTACATTTGTTGGACAAGTACACGTTTTTTGAAATAATCTGACATAAATTGTTTATGTCCGATTGTTACAAAGCATGTGTCTAGAAGACCTTATATACGAATGGTCTGATGTATTTTTTGTTTTTTTTGCATATACACCCAGGAAAGTAATGTGTCTTGATTCGGGGTCCTTAAACTCTCTAGTTGTCCCCTCACAAATTTTCTGGGTAGTAATTTTCAGGATTATCGACGTCAAACGGATATATCTTTAATCGTATCATCCGATTATCTAGTAAAAAGATTGAATATTGAAAAATTGAATATTTTCCTGTTCTTCTTTCGATAATACTTTGGCTAAAAGTAAAGTATTCAAAATATTATATTACATTGGTTTCTAAAAGTGTAGCTTTTCTAATTCGTGTCCCTGTGGTCCAATTCACATGACGTTTTTTATAGGTATGGTAGTGATAACATATGTGGTAAATGAAAAGTCTCGGCTGGAACAGCCGCATCATCCAAGAGTGATGGTTGCTTTGAGGTTTCTTTTCTTCTTATACTAATACGATAACTACGGCACAGGACGACTGGAATCGATTTTCTTTTCAGAATCATTTAGTGCAATCTACTATCTATCTATGATAAGTTGCACGTTAGAAAGTTCTAGGTCCGTGAATATCTGTTGGAATGATTCTACTTTTTTCCAATGAAGTGCCCCGCTCGCATCGAAATTAACTTTCATCACCAAACTTTAGACCATAATCATTTAAATTTTCGGAATGGCTATTGGCACTCCCGGCAGTGTCAACAAGAAGCTACTGGCACTCCCAGGGAGTGTTTGGGAGTCTCAATAAGGAGCTATTAGCTCTCACGGGCGTGTGAACTAGGAGCTACTGACTCGCAAGATTCTGATTGCATATTAGCATTTTGGCGGGCATCTATCTCATCAGGGAGGCCTCCCTGATGAGAGAGACTTTCGGACTGCTTTTATAGCAAATGTCCGCCTGGCCTATAGAAAAATGCACACTGTGGGCGGGACGAGGGCTGATGGATAGCGAGAGTGAGTGATAAAGCTGAAAATTACATATAAAAATAGGCCAGGCCATAAATTACATATGAAAATTGATATAACAAAAACTTATAATAAGTGGACGGACAATTTCCAGTATTCAGGATCATGATGAACACTCAATCGAGCGATAGTTTCACCAAGTACGTGAGTTCAAAGAAGTTTAACATTGCGGTAGACTATATAAGTAATCTCCGCAGACTGAGTTTGTTAAGTAGTCCTTGTTGTCTTAGTTTCGTTCTTCTCTTTACATCATATGTTATGTTATAAGGTCATATGTTTGTAGTGACCTTTGTCTTTCTCTCTGTTCTACTGATGTCATGAGTCCGGCCAGTTTTAAATAACATTCTTTCCTATTCTTCTTGTACTCTATGGTCTAATGATGTCATGTTCTAACCAGTTCTTCTGACGTCATTAGACCCCTTTCTGATTCTTTCTCAGATGTTCAATATATATATATATATATAGCTGTATTTTTTGTGAACGGAATAGCATAGTAATGTACTACTGAATAAAGTGAAGAAGTCAAAGAATTAATCAAGATAGTTTTACCACATAACAAATTGTTTAACCCTTTACGGCCGGTTCCTAGAAGGCGAATAGCAAAAAATTCTTTTTGCACATATTTCTTATTGATGTATCGTAAGCAAGGGGGAAAGCACGGAATCCTGGAATCCTGGAATCCCACGGAATCCAATAGAATCCAACGGAATCTCATAGAATCCAATGGAATCCAAAGGAATCCAAAGGAATCCAACGGAATCCAATAGAATCCAACGGAATCTCATAGAATCCAATGGAATCCAAAGGAATCCAATGGAATCCAAAGAAATCCAAAGGAATCCAAAGGAATCCAAAGAAATCCAAAGGAATCCAACGGAATCCAAAGAAATCCAAAGGAATCCAGCGGAATCCAAAGAAATCCAATGGTATCGGGTGGATTCCGATGGAATCCGGGATTCTACACTTCTCCCGAAACAGAACAAAAGTGTTCTATATTTTGGGAAACTTTTCCCAAAAACAGAACAAAATATTCTGTTTTGAGGGGAAGTTCCAGAGAATCCAAGGGAATCTTATGGATTCCAAGAGAATCCTATAGAATCCTGGAGAAGCCTATGGAATCCTGGAGAAGCCTATGGAATCCTGGAGAATCCGAAGGAATCCTGGAGAATCCGAAGGAATCCTGGAGAATCCGAAGGAATCATAGAGAATCCTTGGAATCCAGGAGAATTCAGGATTCCAGGATTCCGTGCTTTCCCCCTTGATCGTAAGTATAACAAAAATACAATCTTCGAAACAAAAATATTAGTTTTTACTTAATAACTCTATGTTGCCATTTGGCAACAGCCGGCCGTAAAGGGTCAAAAATTTGAAAAAATTATTTTTTTGCTTTCGATCGTCAAAACGCACTATTTCGTGCTTTTTCGTTTATTTCTAATCTTATTTCAAGAAAAAACACTTTTGACAATATATGTTATCAATGAGGATAGTCTTTGAAACAGTTACTTTTTTCATCCAAGCATAGACGTAGTTGGCATTTCGAACAACAAATTCTTGTATAACCAATACAGCCAAAATTTTGACAACGACCTTTTGAAGTATGAATAGGCCAATGATGACTTGTCGAGTCGAACACTTGATGGTGGAATTGAATTTGGTACAGCTCGTGATGTTGTTGTTTGATTATTTTCATTTGATGTTGAATCTAAAGATGGACGACCACGTTTTGTGGAAGGTGTAGGTGGTGCAGATTTAAGCATAGATTCAGCAACAGTTATACGAAATGATAATAAAGACATGGTGTCTCTTTTTTGAATATCAAGTTGTGAACAATGGCGGCGGTACACTAGCCAACCATTTACAATTGATAGATCGATAAGATGAAAGATAATTTTAGTATAGTACTTTTTTGAACGACCATTAATTCGATACAATGAAACTAACATGTCAATCAAATCAACACCACCCATGTGCTGGTTATATGCTTTTACAATATTTGGTCGTACAACCTGTATGTGACTTTTTTCTTTTGACGGCCATCGTTCAACTGAGTCGGCTGGTTGACAACCGTACAATGTAGACAAACAATTAACAGCCTTATTATCATACCACCTTACTGCACATAATTCAACACCATCAACTTCAGCAACACGATGATCCATTGATCCTCTACCTTCTTTTGATAAATCTTTTTCGTTTTTCATGCTCAAACCCGGCAAGCGATTAGCTCTTACCGTACCTACGGAATAAATACCAACTTTTTCAACTCAACTTGAAGTTTAATTGTTGTAAAATAGTTATCAAAAAAACGTTTATGGTTGGTAGAACATGGTACAGTTTCACATAATTCAAGAACAACTTTTGTACAAAAACCTTGTTCCTGTCTATCAATATCAGATTTACCTACATAGAAAAGAAAATCATAACAAATGCCACTTTCACCACCAGCTAAAAGAAACATTTTATAACCCCAACGATGAGGTTTGTTAGGCATATGTTG